CTCCCCGCCTCTAGCCGGAGGGTCCGGGCTCCCCCTCAGGGCGCGGTTCCCGCTCGGTGTGAGACTGGAGAGCGGCTTGTTGCACCGTTCGGACTCGTTACTGCTGCCCTGCCTCTGCTTCCCTCTGCTGCCCAGCCTCCCCCGATCTGGTGGCTCCAGCCTGAATAAATCCTTTCTTTCCTCTCGCAGCCCTGCCAAACGCAATGTCCGCTCGAGTGCAGCCTCGCTCCAGCGCTCTTCGCTGCCTTTGCCTGGCTGGATGCGCTCCCAGTCTCGCCTGGCCCGCCTGCCCTTTCCCTGCCTGATCCCGCCTTCCCCAAATCCTAACTGCTCGAGCAGATGCCTCTGCTGTCCCCGCAGCCTTTCTGCCACCTATGGAATCTCCTCGTGTTGCCCCAGTTGAGGCATACAATCTCTGCAGACACATCTGTAGATGTTTTTCCTCTTCTTGGTGTCACTGCTAAGTTTCTCTTCCGTCTTCAAGTTTTCCCTTATATTTCTTTTTTCCACCCACCCTGACTCATCTCTCACCTGCCTAGGTTTGCCCTAGTAGCTGACTTTGCTGTTGGAAGGCTGACCAAAATATAGTTCATTTGTAAAGGGGTTCTTAAGCTTATGTTCAAACAAAACTTTTTGTTACAGGCTCTGTACTTGAGCCTGATACTGCAGAACTTGCTGCTGCTGTTTTCTGTTTTGCTGCTAGCCTGTTCCCCTCTGGAAGGGGAAACACATGCCCAGAATCAATTGGAGACTGTGTCACAGTTGAGGTTGAAAGTCCACCATAGCCAATGCTGGAAAAGTAAACATTAACATAGGAAGGACCTGAGGAGGCATCTAATGTGCTTAGAAAAGCCCAGTTTTATTTCAAAAACAAATTATGACTCCAGGCTTACAAAGGACAGATAAATCTCCTGACCAGTCTCTTGAACTGCCTTCAGTTTTGCCAATGTGTTTTGCCTACACCCAGTTGTAAGCTTGAGGACTAGCATATGTAATGCTCTGAGCCAGCTGCAGAGCTGACAGACACATCTTCCAACGCGCACAAGAAAATTAACATTAATATTGAAGCTGTTAGTCTTTCCTTTGATGGCAGAACTACAATTCTACTGTTGTCTATGTATTCTTGAGTGAAACTGAAAAATAAGTTAACATATTGAAAACAGCCTGTTTTAATCATTAAACTATTATCCTTGTTGACAGATCAGTTGCTCCTACAGTGTGGTAGATTGTAATTTCTTACCTGAAGAAATCAGCACCAATTAGGAAATGGCCAAAGTTGAAAAGTTTGCTTTTCATGTTCCAAGTCTGGAGGAGCTTGCTGGGGGTAAGGCATGCAGCATGTAACTTTTTACAAACTTATAATGTACTCTTCAAACTTATCTCGAAACTCTTTATCAAAACCTTTCTACAGCTAATACATGCAGAATGTTCCTGCTCTTAGCACACTGAGATGTAAAGAAAAGCTCTATTTTTCTATATGCTATTATTTCCTTAAAGCAAACAATGAATGACTCCTCCATTAAACCCCAATGATATTTAAGCACACAAACAGGCTCTCAGACCCTTTAAAACTGCCTGCTGCATTTGCAAATTTGTGCATGGGTTGTGAAAGTGCGACAATTACAGACCAAACCTATTTACACATATGGGATCCTCTGTCCTCCTCTACCCTCCAGTATTTCTTTCCTTTTCAGGACTACTCAAAACACAGCTGACAAGATGCAGTATAGCATGCAAGTCGTCCTGCTTGAACCTAGCTGGCTCATTTTTTTATGATTGCCGTGGAACCAGGCTGCAGGAAAACAGTTCATTTAGTTTGTTTCTTTACAAAGTCTTTGCAAAATGTGCTCAGAATAACAGAATGGTTGAGGTTGGAAGGGACCTCTGGAGGTGACTTGGTGCAACCACTTGCTCATGAGCTTCTTTCCTTGCCCTAGTAGAACAGCATTATTCCTTCTGTCAGTCTGTCTCCTGCAGTAGAGGTACTAAAGGTTTTTTCTCTCAGAGAGGTCTTCAGGTTCAGTCTGCCACTCTCCCAAGTGTGTGTCAGTTTGACATTTCTGTGCTTTGAGAAAGTGTGGTCCCAGGAGCACCCCGGGTGGTTCTCAGTGCCTTTCTCACCCAGTCGCTGTCAGGCTGGGGCAATAGGCCTGGGCTGCTGTAGACCTGTGGGCTCTGCAGAGAAAAGCATGAACTTGCAGTAGAACAGCTTAAAACCATAGCAGAAAAAATTAGTCACAATGAACAACTTTCCTTTTTTTTTTTCCCCCCCCATCTGTCATGAGGACCTCCTGTAAGCTGTGAATTTTGTTGCTGTTCAGCTCTTGAGTATAATTTGGGAAGTACCCTTTTATTGTCCTTTTCCACTTACCAGAAGGCACTGAGATGTATTTAGAAACCTGCCAAGTACCTTCTACTGATCCCTATGGTCAACAGCTTGGTAAATCTGCTCCTGAGAAGTAAGGTACGACTGAAATCCTGATTGGAGGAAACAAAGGCACAGGAAAGTCTGAGTGATAAGGAACTGCCTGATTTGAGAACACAGACTGGATTTTCTGTTGCTTAGTTTGAGACATCTGTCAAAGGAGACTCCCAGGCATGAAAGAACTTCGACCTTTTAACACAGTATTTGAAGCAGTGTGTGTGAAGGCAAGCCCACACTCAATTAAGGTTTGTAAGTTGTTTTCAAACAGTGCACTTGTCTAAGCCAGAACCCTCCTGTTGTTTGAGTGACTGCAGGTTCTGAGCCTAAAAACATTGATATGAAGCAACCCCCAAAGTTTAGATTTGGGGCTGTTCATTACCATCAGCACCATTCAATATCTATCTTGTATTGACAGTGGCACTTGCCAGAAAATCTCCACATGAACGTAAACATGACAGGCAATATCCTCTGACAGCACAAGCTTCCAGACAGCAGAGACAGTTTGAGATTATAATCAAGATATTGCAAGCAGTCTAGTTAATATATTTAAAGAACTGATTTTCACTTCAGCTAAAACTTCCTTCCTCTTTTGCTCTCACGTGATATTTGACCATGATCATAATTGTCTGCTCTTGTGAAGCAAAACCACTGCTGAATTTAAGTTTACCCATGTTATTTCACATTGTGCTTTTCCTGGTGCTACTAGGAGCAGTCAGTTATTGTATTTCAGTTAAAAGCTTTTTAAAATTCTTAAAATGAATTAATGTGGTAGCTAACAATTATCTGAACAAGCTTTTGCTCTTCTCTGAAGCTCTGACTCAGGAAACAAGTGCCTACCGGCAGTAGCATTTAAATAAATTGAGTTACTTAGGGTAAGCATAAGTTCTTCAATGTATCTTGCTGAAATAAAGCCTAAACAGGTATATTTATTGGTGTTAGTAACTTGTCAAACTCTTGGTAATTTTTCATTGTCAATAATTTTGACATTATTCTTTATTATAGTTTTGCAGAAAGGGCTTAAAGAAAATTTTGCTGATGCTCAAGTCTCAGTTGTAGACTGTCCTGATCTGACACAGGAACCCTTCAACTTTCCTGCTAAAGGTAACCTAGCATTCCTGATCAGCTTTTTCTACCTGATCCAGCTTGGTGTTGGTCTTCTAAAGATGTTGGGAGAGCTTAACATGTTTTTCAGGTAAAGAATGTGCATGAGAGGAGAGCTACATTTTATTTATGGAATTGCTTCCTATTTGATGTATGAACAAGGGTATTTTTCATAATTTTTTTTCTTAACCTATGATTGCAATACTCACTTATTTCATAAGCTTTATTTAGTGTACTGGAAAGGTTTTGAAATTAAGTTATCTGGAAGGTGGAGGAATTTTTTAGATCCATGCCAGTCACTATCTGAACCTAAGGAGTTGCGCTTGCATTCATTTGTAAATTCCTGTCATTCGTGTATGTCAGTGAAGTGAAACTGTCGTTTCCTGCATGGGATTCATTGTCTTTGACATTAACTGTCTGGAAGACAGACATGTCATATGTGCTACTCATCTAAGTTCCCTCTGTCATCAATGGAGTGAAAGAAACACCTTCTTAAAATACATGTCCAAATAAGTGGGGATTAATTGTCCCGAGACTTGGGCATCCAGCTGTGCTGAAATTTTGCAAGTGGAGCCCCAGTGGGTGTTTCCACTGTGTGGTGAGGACATCTTACTGGAGAACTGGCAAAGGGCATTTGTTGACCCTTGTAATATTTTTTTTTTGTGCTTAGGGAATGTCAATTTTACAATGGATTGCCTAGCATTAAATCCCACTGTGAATCATTTTAGGGCTTATTGTCCATGCACTTCTTAGTAGTGTAACACTTTCTCTAAGCATGCTAGGGACACAGTGTTCTCAAAGGGTTTCAGAAGTTCGAGGAGGCAATTCTTTGGTGTGTTAGACTGCATGCTCTTTTAAGATTATTAGGAAAAAATATTTTACCAAGCTAACTGGCTGTATTCTTCCAGGAATCTGTGGAAAGCCTAGAATAGCAGATGTGGGAGGTGTTCCTTACCTCATACCTGTTGTACAGAAAGAAAAAGTGAGTTTTTCCTGCAGCTGTGGGGTTTAATACATTTGTCAAAAGAAAAGCGATATCTTGTTGAAATATAAACAAAACTGAGAACTAACGGATAATATAAGATTCCACTTGTGAAAGACACTTACTTTTCAGTGTTTTACGAGATTGATTTTGATGTGTGTTGAACATAGACTATGTGAGGAAATTTTACACGTAGCAAAAATAGCATATCATGGTTGATGGTTCATCTTCTTCTGCCCTCAATTACAAGACAGATTTGTAAACATACCATCTGTGACAGGAGCCGTGGAAGGAGCTACTAAACAAGGGGCTTGTCTGTATGCTTATTTATGGCTTGCTGCATGCTTGTGATTTCAAGTCACAACCACGCTTCTTTGTAAGAACCGGCTGTATTTGCATTTTCAGGCCAACACTGGATTCACATTACTGTCCTTTTCCAAGAATATCATGCCTCCTTTCTGACACCTCACCCTACCTGTCTTGATATTCCCTTCCATTTTTTATTTCACACAAATATAAACTTCAATAAGAACAATAATTCAGTTTTTGGGTAAGAGGCAGGTAGACTGCCTTTCAGGAAAGAAATGGACATGTACCCAGTTTGTTACTAACAAATGTTGTATTGTTCACAAACTGTGTTCAACCTAATTATCCAAAATACTAATGAGGGAATTGTGAATTAAATGCATCCAGAGGTTAGAGTGGACAGAATGACAATTCCGAATCAGAGCACCACACCAAAATCAAAGGATTGTTTCTCTTTTGCAGGTTTACGATCTAAATACAGTTGCAAAAGACATAGAACTGCCTGGAGCTTTCATTCTTGGAGCTGGAGCTGCTTCATCTAAGATTCTTGGTGTAAATGCTGAGGTCAGTAAATAAGTGTGATGGTTCTCAATGAATTCATGGAAATATCATAATAGAGCACTGTCATGCTGGCTATTTCCAGTGTACAACAAAACATTTAATAAATACCATTCATGCCAAAAGCACATTAGAAGGAATTCAGATGAGGGTCATCCAGTGAGGTGCATAGTATTGAGATAATAAAGATTAATTTTTAACTTGTATTTCTCCAGGAAGCATGTGATTGCTTTGAAGTGTGCAAGAAACATGATTTTTTTGAAACTGATTGACAAAGAGCGGACCAGAGTTTTTAATAACAAGATTTAGAAATGCTTGTCAAAGTTACTGGTAAATGCCTTTGAAATACTCCCTGTCTGTTGCCCGCTTGGACGGCTTGGTTTACTATTGTAAATGTTAAAGATGCCATGTACAAAATGATCACCTGCAGGAGAGGCAGAAGACAAAAACTACTGCCTGTGAAGGTTTTGGTTAGTCTGAGTCTTTTTAAGCAGAAACCTCTGGTCTTGCCATCTCCTTTTGATGCATTTATTGGCAGATGAGATAGTCCTTCTCAGCATTAAATTTGGGCCACTATAGTAATGGTTGTTACTGTACACTGAGAAAGTATTATATAGAATTCCAGTACTTGCATGCAAGCCTCAGATCTCAATGGTTTTTTGGGTTTGGTTTTTTTTTCTTTTTGGGGGGGGTTTGTTTTTTTGGTTTTTTTTTTAACACTAGCATTCATGTTCAAGTAACATTAAATTTAACTGTCCAGAAAAAGTAAAACTTTTCTGGAGTTTTCAATTACATTACAGTATTAGTGCATTTTTCTTACCGGTACAGACCTCATCCTGAGAGACAGAGCTGTGTGACGAAGGGGCTTATTTCTTGGGATCATGGTCCAAAGCTTAAATTGGATTTATGTGAGTTCATTTGACTGACTCTTACCTGTTCTTATTGACTTACTTGACCATTGTTACATGTTCCTATTCTCAGCTTATCCCTATTGTTCAAACTAAGAGTGAAAAAAAGCCTGCTGTAAATGGGAGTTACATTGCTCAGATAAATCCTGCAGACAAAGGGTGCCTGCTTGAGAAGTACAGCAGTAAATATACTGACTGTGAGTTTGGGCTGTTGGCCAACCTTTATGCCAGCGAGGGCCAACCTGGTAAGGTATGTACTTGGATCAAAGGTGACTTTGCTTGTAGAGCTTTGTGGCTGAATGTTATCCTATCAGTTTACTGTGATAATAGTAAAGTAGTAATTCCATTAAAGAAATATCCAAACATAAGGAACTGATGGTGGTAAATGAGGGGAAGAATTAGTGGAGGTAGAGAGACAATTGAATTTTTGAGGGATAAGTATTAGTTTACTAAAACCATTATAAATTATCCATCCAAATGCAGTCCAAACTCGCAATGATTTAATGTAATGATTGTACAATATACTTGTGTAAACCAGATCTGGGCACTTGTCTAGTTTATGTAGAAGTGCTTCCCCCAACACAGCTAGCACAAAGCAGTGTTGTCAGAGCGGTCAAAACCTGACTACTGTATGGAAACTGAGCGGTCTTCTGTCTCCAAGAGTTTCTTTGTAACAGAGTGGAAGCCAGCTGGTGGACAGAAAGGGGTTGCTTATATCATTGTCTCATGTGCGAGTAGACGACTTGCTGGCCAGGACCCTTCACAGGCAAAGCTAGCATTGAACAGAAAATCAGGAGAGTTGGTCAGGTTCTGGAAGGATGCAAGTGGAGCAGCACTTGCAGGGAAGCTCACATTTTCAAAAAGTAATCTTGGGTTATAAGCTTAGGGGAATTTCAGAGCAGCTTTCACAAACCTTTGCAGACTGTTGCAGCAGGAGACAGCAGTGTCAAATTAACTTTATTCTCCAGGTCCTTGAAGTGAAAGCCAATGGAAGAACTGGGGAACTTAACTTTGTGTCTTGTCTGAGACAAATTTTAGAGAAACACTATGGAGAAAAGCCAGTTGGGATGGGCGGTACATTTATCATTCAAAAAGGGAAAGCAAAGATTCACATAATGGTAAGTTGTTCTCAATATATAACTTTCTTCATCTTTCTGAAAACACAAGTATAAATCAGGGTGTAACATCTTAGTGCCTTGACTTTGTTCTGTATTTTTAAATGCATGCATAAATTGTTAGGATAAGCGGTATTTTAAAGTAAGGAGCTGACATTACAAAACTGATATTACACAACTAGTGCTGCTGTATTACTTGGCCTTAGTACCATCCTCTTTTCTTTTGAAATCCGTGGGCAGCTAAAGAACTGTAGAACTATTGTAAAGTGAATTGAAGTGAAATGCATGAACTGAGATGATACTTACAAGAAGCAATAGACTTTAAAAATAACTGAGCTTCTAAAGTATACCAGGAGAAGAATCCTCACTTCAGCAGTTCTCCCACTACCTGTGCAATGAAAGAAGCAATATTCTGTTCACTTCTTTTTCTGGCAGAAACACAGTAATGGGCACTGGTGAGCTTCTTTTAGGCAAGAAGGAATGTGAACAGAACAGTGGGGAGGGGAAAAGTGAAAGAAAGTTGCTAGAAAAAAAAGTATCTTGATACAAGTGTCTTCCTTTCACTAATAAAGCTTTAACTTTTGCTGTAGCCTCCAGAATTTTCTGCCTGTCCTCTGAATACCGATGAGGATGTGAATAACTGGCTGAAATTCTTTGAAATGAAGGCTCCACTGATTTGTCAGCCAGTAATAGTTTCCAGAGATCCAGTGAGTCTCTTTCTGATTTCTAAGTGTAAACTGAGACTTGTAATGAATTTTGTCTTGGATGTGATTTTCCTTTTAAGAACAGGAGTGTGTATACGTTGTGTTAAACTCTTCCAGAGGCAGTGTAATGAAATAGAAGCTTCTCATTTCTGTCACTGTTTTGAATTGAGACTAGGTCAATCTGTTTTGAAACCTAGCGGCTGTTTATAGTGGATAGAACTTCATGGTTCAGTTCCAATTGCAACTGTGCAAGTGTTTGCATCCCAAACCCAGCAGCATAGTTTGCATTCACTGCTGGCCGCACCAGGAGAAATGTCAAGAGTGTGGAAGCTTGTTCAGCCATGTGGTCATGTAGTTCACTTTCATAAGAACTGTTTCTGCTGGTGCTGTGTCAAAATATGTGAAGCATGTGTCTCATAGTTGCCGATGAAAATTAAAGTCTGCAAAGCCTCATGCTAGAAGGTTATCTAGCATCTTTCACAAGCACTAAATTCAACAGCAAAGAATTCAGGATAAAAAACAATCTGGTTTCAAAAGCCATTAAAATGTTCATTGTTAGGAAGACTATTTATTTAAAAGTAACCAGGAAACCAGCCGTGAAAATTACTATTTTATAAGTAACAATGCAGTCATAAGTAATAAAAAATATTTTTTTTTCCAGAGTTAAATGAGACATGCTGTAGGCTTGAATATGTTCAATGTTGTGACTTTATTATGTCTTCATGTAGCAGCCTTTGTCCTAAGGCTAAATTGTGTGCATCTTCCCAGAATCAACTGATGAGTACTTTGAAGACAGCCATCAACAGCTGCTCCATTCAGAACCAATGCAACTTGTGTAGTGGATGGAGCTGGGTTACTCCTGTCTGTATCCACTGCAAGCTCAACAGCACTCAGCCAAGCCTATGGTTTTGGAAAAGTTTGAGGGTCACTACAGAGACAACAGTAGAAGATGGCATTCAAATGCCATAGCATTACTCATTAGTATCCTCTTGCAGCCCGGAAAACCAATTGTATCCTGGGCTGCATCAAAAGAGGCGTGGCCAGCTCGTCGAGGGAGGGGCACATCCAACTCTGGGGTCCCAAAAACACATGGACCTGTTGGGGTGGGTCCAGAGATGGGCCATAAGGACCTCTCCTATGAAGACAGGCTGAGAGAATTGGGGTGGTTCAGCCTGGAGAAGGCTCTGGGGAGACCTTATTGCGGCCTTTCAGTACCTAAAGGGGGCTTATAAGAAAGATGAAGAGAGACTTTTTACCAGGGCCTGTAGTGACAGGAGAAGGGGCAAGGGCTTTAAACTGAAAGAGGGTAGATATAGATTGGACATAAGGAAAAAAAAATGTTAGGCTAAGGGTGGTGAGGCACTGGAAGAGGTTGCCCAGAGAAGCTGTGGATGCCCCATCCCTGGAGGTGGTCAAGGCCAGGCTGGATGAGGCTTTGAGCAACCTGGGCTATTGGGAGGTGTCCCTGCCCATGGCAGGGGGTGGGAACTAGATGATCTTTAAGTCCCTTCCAATCCAAACCATTCTATGGTTTTATGATATTTAAAACTGGTGGGGGTGATCTCACAGTTTGGTATGATAGTTGTTATTTTATTTGCTGTTCTTTCTATTTTCATTTAAGCTGGCTCTCAGAATTGAAGTAGAGATTGTCCCTTCATCACATGGGCTGTGGCGTTCAGTACAAAGGAGTTCTGGTTTCCAGTAGGGGTTCCTTGGTGTGACTGCTTTATTGAATCCCAATGGAAGGAAGGAAGGAAAAAGGAAAACTCTAGGAGATTGACACCAAAAGTTGGGGGCTGTCAGGGTTTTAAAATTATTTTCTCTTTGATGTCCTATGGTAAGGTCTTGTACCACTCCTCATCTTTTGTCTTTATTAGTTTCACAAGCATCTTGCAAGTTTTCACTGCCTGACGGTTGGAGAGATCCGTGGAAATAGGCGGTATAAAGCGGAGACTCTCTCAGCACTTTTACTGTTCCCATGAGTGGGTGTTGACAGGCCTTTCTCTGGTGACAGGGCTTTGATCTGCGCGTGGAGCACACCCACTGCTTCAGCCACCACGGGGAAGGAGGGCACTACCACCACGACACCAGCCCCGAGAGCGTGCAGTACCTGGGGTACCTCCTGCCCGCAGAGCTGCTCTTCCGCATCGACAGGCCCCAGGAGACGCACCTGGTCGGGAGGGACTGAGCGGGCGGTAAACGGGGAGGCTGGGCAGGAGACACAGAAATTTAATTTTTTTTTTAAATACAAATGCTGATTTTTATACCACTTTCAATTATGTACATTTATCAGAGTCAATAATAAATACGAGAGCAGTAAACTGCTGACTTTTTAATTTTGTTAAAGGGAGAAGTTGAGTGTACATGTAACTGAAATGGTTTTGACTGAATTTTACCAGTAATTGCAATAGGATTAATTGTGGGGTTTTTTGCTATTTGATTGCACTCCTCCATGGTTGTAGCTGATGATGAGGAACCAGATGTGAATTTATGTTTAGAACGGGGAATTAAACCAGCTTCTGGTCAAAGGATAACGCTGTAAGAGCAAATCGCTGCAGCTCTGAGTAGTAAACCTGGCTGGCG